GAACTCTTAAGATGCCTTAACAATCCAAAAGGATCTTGTTGTTGTGAAGTGCTGTTGAGTCAGTTCCGACCCATAGCGACCCTGTATAGGGTTTCCTAGGAGCAGCTGGTGAGCTTGAACTACCAACCTTGCAGTTCAAATGGCTTTGCAGTCTGGCACATTAACCCACAGCGCCACATCTAGCTTCGTGTAAATAGCTACAATGTGACGATCTTGACCTTTGCTTATGGATATGTTGTTGTTGGTAAGTACTGTCGAGTCAGTTCCAACCCATAGCAACCCTGTATAGGGTTTCAAGAGTGTTATGTGCTGTGGAGTCAGTTCTGACTCATAGTGACCCTGTACAGGGTTTCTGAGGCTGTAAATCTTCATAGGAGCAGAAAACCTCATCTTTCTCCTGCGGAACAGCTGGTAGTTTTGAACTGCTGACCCTGAGGCTCGCAGCCCGATTCATAACCACTATGCTACCAGAGCTCCTTGCTTATGGATGTAGTTGCTTACAAGTTTTCAAGAGTGTGCTTAGTTTCCGAGTAAGATGGGTAGAATAGAATCCCCAGAGAATAGCTTTCCTTTTGTCTAGATGGGGCTGGTGAAAGAGGATGAGGGAGGATGGAGATTAGGATTCTTTTAATTCAATATGATTGTTATCATGACTAATTGCAATTGTCACAACTGTATAGATAGAAGATATATAACAAAAAGAGGGTAGTAGTTAATCTATCATCCCAGGAACAAAGGACCCTAAGACCACAGTTCCCTAGCTTCCCACACCACCCTAGAATTCAAGAAATGTCTGTGTGGAAAAGAGTTTATTATGTATATTTTTGGTCCTCTAGCTTCTGATTTGATGGATTCCTGGTGTGGTGCTATAGTATAAACACTGGACTAAGAACCAAAAGGTTAGCAGTTCAAACCCACCAACTGCTCCTCTGAAATCCTGTATAGGGTCGCTATGAGTTGAAATTGACTCAACGATATTTAGCAATAACAAAAGTTTCTGATTTATCATGCTAACAAATACAGTATTGCAGGATTCTCTTTTCCTTAGTAAAATTCCTCCAACCTGGCTCAAGTTAGATTGATTCTCAGAAGTTCCATGCCTAAAGTTTAAAAATGTTCTTAAAAAAATCATTAGCACACCTAGGAAGAGCTCTTCCCTGTTGGAATTTTAGTTCAAGTTATTTTCTAGTTGCTTCTATACATTTTCAAAAAATTTAAAAACTTGTCTTTTCAAACATTTTCTTTTAATTGTAACAGTGAAGGCTTTTGGGAAATATATAACCTGTTATGGATCTTCAAGTTATCCTAGATAGACTAGGGTGTCCCAAGGTGGTACAAAAAGTTAATCAGCTAATCCACCAACCATTTGAGGCTTGGTGTGGCCCTATAGAATAAGCACTAGTCTCCAAGGTAGGTCTGAATCGCAAGGTCAGCAGTCCAAACTCACCAGCGTTCCTTGGAAACCCTATACAGGGTTGCTATGAGTCAGAACTGACTTGATGGCACGTAACAACATATATACATACATACACATGTATACACTTTCTACTCTTCCCATTGAGCATGTGTCTCTGTCCATGTATCTACCCCCAGAATATTGTTGTTCCAAGGCTGCATATTTATCACTTACCTCTATCTCCTTTAGCCCTTGTATGCCCATGTCTTCATACTTCTGCCAACCTCCCTCTTCTTGTATACTACCCTTCCCTTTCTCATATATTGCCCAACTCATCACCCAAATTAACATGTCT